ATATACTGCAACACTTCTCAAGTAATTTGAGGCGACGGTGACGGAAACCATTCTTGTCTGTTACCTGTGAAAACCAACTTCATGTGTAACTTCCAAGCCAATGTTTTGTGTGTTTCTGTGGTGTTTTTGTGTTGACTGTTGCGGTTGTTTCTATGTTGTTTCTATGCTGCTTCTATGCTGCTTCTATGTTGTTTATATGTTGTTTCTATGCTGTTTCTATGTTGTTTATATGTTGTTTCTATGCTGTTTCTATGTTGTTTATATGTTGTTTCTATGCTGTTTCTATGTTGTTTATATGTTGTTTTGACTTTGTTGAAATTTACATTGAAAAATTAGTTTTTCAAAAATTTAGTAGGAAACCAACTAATTTTTTCAATTACATTGATTTCATTCAAAAACTAAATTTAGTTGATCTGCAGACTCAGGGTAGAGGCGCTACTGCGGCCGAACTGACCCGTGCGTGCGGCTTGGTTCTTGCAGGCTAGGCACTACAGGCTTTGCATCCAGCATTCATTCATGCATTCGGGACCCTTTTCCATTCATGCATCTCTCAAGACTTAGTTTGAGTTACGCGGTTCACAGCTTAGCTGGCCTCTTAGAGGGCTTAGTACCTACCTGGTTTAACCAAAGGCAAGTGTTTCATCAAGCATCCCTCAAGACTTAGTTTGAGTTATGCGGTTCATAGCTTAGCTATGGCCTCTTAGAGGACTTAGTCCTTACCCGGCACATACGAAGGCAAGGGCTTCGTGGCATACTGCAACAGTTTCAATGCAGCAGGCCAGTTTTGACATGACAGACCCTTCGCGAGGACGCCTCCTCGTTGCATCGAAGTGTCTATGTGACTGATATCAATGTCTTCTGAACCATTAACCACCTCACAGGAAGTGATGAAGCTTAGCTGAGTATCCCTTGGCGATGCGAAGTTATCCTCAAAGATTGCGAGCCTGATCGATGGAATGAGAGTCTGCCAAACATGAAGAGTCGGCAGCGCTTCAGAAAACAGTGATGAAGAGAGGGGCGCGAACTCATTTTCAGTCGTGGACCGTGACATGCTCCCCGACGGTCCGGTCAAGGCAAGAACATACCCCGACGTGGACTTCACAGTTCGGACATCTCTTGCAAAGTCTGCATCGCAGAACAGAGAAATGCTTAGCATATCAGGAGGGTCTTGGATTGGCATGACATGTGCATATTCGTGAGTGAGCTGCAGTTAAGCGAGCTGTTCTCCGGTCATCATTAACAGACCATGTGGTGATATTTGCTTCGCAAGAAGGCTTATGATGAACATTACATCAGGCCGGGAAATCCGGCACAACCACATTAGTTTCATGACCGGCTTAGCTGCATGAGGTGCAAGTTGACCGCGGAGTTCATCATCTGATGCAATGAGCGAGCCTTCATCCCAACAAGGAGACGCATAGCTCTTGACTGGCTTGTTCGCCAAGTCTAGAGCTGGACACATTGCTTAGCAAAATCCGAGGGCTCCAAAGCGAGAGCTTTCCTGCCGTCCATCCATACCAGGCGGTGATTCCTGCCAAGCACCCTGCCAAACTCAGTTGGAGGGTCAAGGTTGACGTATTCACTTAGTGTACGCCAGAACTCACCGTGCTTTGACTTCACCCCTGCCAACGTCAAATCATCGACGTATACTGACATGATCAAGGCTTGGCCAAAGTGGAACACAGATGGCATGTCAGGGAACTCAATCCCGTTCAACTTCTCACGGAGAATCTTTGACAAATGAGCTTGCCAGTGGGGGGATGATTCAGGGTGCCCGTGCAGACTCTTGTAGAGCTGCGCACATGGATGGTGAATGTGCTTCTTTGATGGAGGGACAAAGAAGCAGGAGGAAGCATGACGAAAGTCCTGTGCTTTGTTCCAAACGTCGACTGGATGCACGCGCGGGTGCAATCTGAGGTCGAGCACGTGTGGCCTTCAATCATGGAAAAGGCAACCACGGTGTTCAACGCTGCAATTGAGCTTGGAGCGGAGGCTGCAAGATCTTGGAAGATGGCACTTAGTCCCCCCTGATCCCTTACTGCAGCATCACCTCTAAACACAATTCGGGCTTTGATCTTCCATTCGGCAGGATCTTTTTCATAACCCTTGATGCTCACAATGACCATGAGCTCCAAAATGCAACGTTTCATTTGGAAACTCTTTGATCACATCGGCTTTCGAGCGAATGTCCTCTTCCAACCAGGTGCTTTCGAGCAACAACAGGCCATTCTTTTCATTGCCAATTGCCTCAAAAACTTCAGGACGACCCTCCCACTCTTCTCTGTCAATTGTGTGAAAACTCTTTGGGACCACTCTCATACATCATGACATCAATGAGAACACATGGCACGCCTTTCACTGCACGTTGACGGTGCTTGTGGTTTACACGAAGCATGCATGGCATGGTCGGAACCTGGCCGTTGATCACCTGCGGAAACAGAGCGCTGAGCATCAATCTACACAAGGGATCAGGGGAAAAGGCTGAGTTCCTAGCAAACTTCCCTTCAAGGGGAGCATGACGGTCATGTGCGCACTTAAGCTTACCCAATGATTCTGCTAATCTTACATTATTGGTTACAAACCTCCATGGCTTTCTGGTAGGCTGATCGTCCTTGGCTTTCACTCCTACAGAACACCCACCAAAGGTGGCTGAGAACAACTGCCTCTGCGTGATCCAAGATGCTAACAACCTGAAACCAAGTTCCTCACCAATTCTTCCAAGAGAAGAGTCCGCGGCTCAGGAAAATTCAAACAAAACATGTCCACCAGGAGAAGTGCGGACTTGGCTTTGTAGCCGCTGTGGCTTGCAAACGGCAGTGGCCGCAGCAGCAAAAACTTCCTGCACCAGTTCCTCCGTTGCAAGACAGCGCATCACGCGTGATGTCAAGCAATGCGGCCACGACCCATCATGCCCCTGATGATCAGGCTCCGGCGGACCGTCAGGAAAGCCACCTGATTGGCGAAAACTTCGAATCAAACCGGAAAACTTTTGAAGCGTTTCATGAGCACGAAATGCAGGAGATGATGAATCATGTGTTTGCGCCGCGCTATTTTGGCTAGTCTCATTACCATGACCTGATGCCTTAGACTCCGTTGAACTCATTCTGTTGACAATGACTGAATGGCTTCCATGATCGAATGCAGCGTTGGTTCATTACTGCTTCCAAGGTCCTTTGAAGAAACCACTTCAAGCTCTGGCACTGGAGCGAATGAGTGCTAGCGGCGCACGATGCAGCCAGACCAGCCTCCGGTTCCAAGACACGAGACTTCGAACGATCAAACTCATGAGACAACCTGCTGATTTCTGAGTCCTTATGACCCAAGAGGTTGGTGGTGTACGCATTGGTTTCTGACACCCTGGTGAGCTCTTCCTTGGCCTTATGGAGCTGGCTTTCGAACATGGGTTGATTAAGCCTGATTTGGTCTTCAAGACTCTTCTTTGTGTGATGAACGGACTCACGCAAACTTGCAATGATTGCGCCCTTCTCAACACAACCAGTTTGGAGACTCTCAACACTACCCTTCAGCTGCTCTTCCACCATCATGGTCAGGTGGTTGATGTGACTACATGCCTGTTGGTAAATCTCTTTCGATAAACCTTCAAACTGCTGTGCCCTGGCCTCGGATGGCTTAGCATTCTCCGAGACTCTGCAACCAACCTCCCGTACTCATTTGGGTCGATTCCCATGATTGCTACCTGAATTCGCTCATCGTGCATGTCCAAAGCCTGATGAGCAGTTGGCTGAACATTGCCAAACTCGGGTTCGAGAACAGAAGGCTGACCTACTTGAAGGACACTTGATGAAGGTCCACGAAAGTCTGCCAAAGCAGGCGTTGAGGGTGAACTTGAAGGGGATGCCTGAGGATCACCTTCCGGCCTTGGGAGATTGCGGGTGGCTTTGAACACTGGGGTTCGACGTGCACTGGATTGCCTCTTGCTTGGTGTTCCTGGACCACCGGATGACTGGGATCTTCTCCGAACATGCATTGCACCGACAACAACGTCTAAAGGGCTGTCAGTGCTTAAATTAAGTGATGACGATTGCTCTTCAGCTGACATGAACCATTGACCAACTTCCAAACAACTCCCAACCCCTTTTTCTGGTGGGAACGATGCTCAATTGGCAAAGGCTCTTGGGAACGAATCTCCTGTACTCATGCCTCGCCGCTGCTGACGAAGTGGCGATTGCGACGGCGATCGGGGCCGACAAGGTGGAGATCGCGAAGGTCACCGAGGTCGACGTGACATGTACGGGTTTTGTGTGGATCCCGCAACCACTCTAAGTGAAGAAGGTTGTTGTGTTGCCCCAAAAACAAATCAATGAGTGAAGAGCCGATACGGCTGATAACAACTTGAGCCGGAAACCGGAGCCCCAAAAGAACAACACAACCGACCAAACAACCGAAGCACGATTAAACGCGTCGTGACCAGAAAAAGGGCAATGGCAGCAGAAACCCCCTTTCTTGAGCCAATTGAACCGTAAAGCATCAAACACGCACACTTATGAGGAGGGTTGCTATACATAGCAAAACTGAAGTAACGCGCACCCCTACTTTAACAAAAACCATGTCGGAAACCCGTAAATACGGCTTATTATTGTTTTCTAAGTTACCGCCCTTTCAAGCGGCTATTGGACTACCAACTTTGCCGATTTTGGAAAATTAGACTCCAAAAACAACCGTAACTGCACACCTCTGTCCGCCGCCCTGTCTATTCACAATGACACGCCGCGTTTACACCGTTTTCCCTCCCCCAATGGCACGGACTCACGCAAACGCACTTGCCACCGAGGCCACGCAAAACCGCATGGCACAGCGACATTTCCTTTCAAAAAATTTAGCTGTTGGTGTGAAGAATCACTGTTCTAATAAAACATTAAGGGAAAAACCTTTCGATCTGGGGCCACATTTGGAGAGTTCCCCCAAGCAACAAGAACACCTCGAAAAAAAATAATAAAATCCGGTACCACACTTGTCCTGTTGCTTCTTTGCCAAAGAGCTCTGGTAGGCGGCGGACTGCGGGTCCAGCATCTGTACACTGGGCACGTCTTCCCAACGGATCCGAAAACCCAGCTGGGCGACTTCCGCGCTGAAGCTGCGCAGGAAGACCTGCCGCGTGGCGCTGAGTTCCGGTCTGAACGCCCTGAGTAGCAAACAGTAAAGTCTTGGTCATGGTTTGGTGAATTCTCGTTGGGCACGTGTTGGGGGGGTGGAGTATCTCCTGCCCTATGACTCCAATCGCGTGCTATATGTACAGCGCAAACACGGTCAATAGCGGCGCCACCAAGCGCCACCTCTTAAAAGCACAAATCGTCCGACGCGGCAAAAAGGCGTGAGGAAAAAAACAATCGGACGATTGAATGACAGACTTCTGCGGTCAGATCTCTCATGTTTGACGTGGTTCTGTTTTAAAAAAATTGCTTGTTACGCCGCGTTTGTTGCACCAGCCGTGTTCCATTTACATTCTTTAGCACCGAATATGCGAATAGCAACTTGAGGACAGTGGGGACGAAAGCGAGGGGTATGAAAGGATCAGGGGACGCGGGAGGGCAGCAACGCAACGCTTTTGTGCCACGAACGCAAAGTGTTGTTGGCTGAGTCAACCGAACACTTTAAAAAACAAATCGACTTTCATATTGTTTTTTCTAGGCATTTGGTATGCTTTCTCACAAGGACGAGGGAGGAGTCGAATTGATTCGTTCAATTCAGTTTATGGGGGGGGGTTTAATCTGCAATTGAAATATAGATTCCTTAATTGAAAGAATCAATTAGTTCACTGAACCTTTCAATATTGAGTTTCACCATATTTCGTAAACAACAACTCCCGCTGAGCTCCTTCTGAGCTCGCTTTCGTGACATGTCTCACCAAACACGTTAGTACTGCATGATCGGCCAAGTCAATATGTCAATCGCCAACCAACCAACCAACCAAATCTTGGGATGCTGCTCTTAGTTGGGACCGTTTGAGGTAGGATATGCGTTAACGTTGGAGTGGCAAGGGGGATAGTGCTCGATGTTCGTCACATAAGGTTTCCATGCACAAGTGTCCTCCAAGACCAAGCGCATGAGGAACAATCACAAACCTGTGAAACATCAATCAACCAAAACATCCGAACACGTGCATGCTGACACCTGTATTTGCATATAATGTGTGTGTGTATGACTCTAAAATTAATTTTTGGTCGCGCCGTCTACCAGTTTATCAGCTGCAGTTCATTGCCATCCGCCCTAAACACCCCCCAAGTGCCGCCCAACAAATGCCCCAACCTGCCCTGGAGTCACTGTTTCGAAAGGCGGTTCTGCTGCATCTGGTGCTGTCGTCTCCTGCAATTGTCGCGCGGGAATTGGTTGGGCGCGCCTTAGCACTAGGAAGGCCAGTTCAAGGAGGGCCTAAACAAAAACAACGGCGTGTCTTCATTGAAAGGTTTGAAAGGAATTGGCCGATTGGCGTGCAGGATCCACATCTTGATTTTGATCCTTAAAAAAACTACGGGCAACCCAGGTTTGAATGGACCCAGGATGACCCAGGCAATGCAGTTGCCCGAGGCCCACCTCCAAGTCTTGGGCGGTTTCATCGATGACCGAACTTTGTGCAGGAGAGCTTGGGGCCTGTCAAACATGCGAAAGCCACCAACATAATATCCAGTGCCAAGATTGCAGTTCGCTTTCGGCAAGTGCATTATCCCCACCCTTAGGGAGGGACCTGTCTAAATGTAAGCTACATTTTTTGCAATTTTGGGTTTAAACATGTAAGTTACACTTTCTTAGGGGCACCTTTAAAAATGTAAGGTACTTTGTTTTGTAAAAGTAAACTACATTTGTGAAAAAATAGAATGCGCAACTTACATGTTTGGAGGTTAAGTTTTCTTGACGCCTTTGTGTGGCTTACCTTTTTCCTCTAGACTCTAAATTTTGTCCTGTTTCCCGCTGTTTTTTAAAGATTTCCAACCCAGTGACAGAATATGTTTTTGTGGTTTCGTTATTGTTTTGGTATGATTTGCTGTAATGGTTTTGTTATCACTAGTGCTTTTCTACTTATGAATTTTGTGATTTTGATATGATTGTTGTTGTGGTTTTCATATTGCATATGTACTTTTTGTCAATCGGCAACTGCGACAGAAGAGGGAGGGACAATATAAATGGAAGAAAAAAACCAGCAGTAGAATGCGAACCCGCTCTCTTTCCGAAGAGATCTATACGCCCCCCCCCCTCGTCGGGTGGACGACAGTCGCACGATCCCCTTCCCCTAAGCGTGTTTCAGACGTTGCCTGCAAAAGGTCCTCGAAACCAAGAAGTGGGGGGGACCTGCCTAAATGTAAGCTACAATTTTTAGACCCCCCCCCCCCCAAAAAAAAAAACAAACTTGTGAGAGGCGCGGAGCGAAAGCGATGACGACGACGAATAGGAGAACTAATTTTTCTGACGTTGACTCGCCGGAGCGCAAACACGATACACTGAAAGGCTGGTTCCATTCAAGTGTGTAACCAAGTGTAGGTCTAAAAAAAACCTAACACAATCTTTGCGATGGCGACGACGACGGCGCCCGTGAAAACGCCTTTAACATAATCCGCTGGGAATGATGTTGGTGATGTCGTGTCCCGTTGGGATGCCCTCAACTACTTGGTGGGACCCTTGGTGGTTGCATTGTCCCTAAAGCGTGGGTCTGACATCTTATTCACTCTAGGCCTTTTGGCCTGCATTCGTCCTAGGCCCTGAGACCGGGGCATTCTGGAGAGGGTCTGCAATGATTCTCCCTCGCCAAGGGAAGAAAACCAATCTAGACCCCTGTCATTTAACCTCACATCCAGCTGTAAAAAACTCTATTTAACAGAAAAAATCGTTTGCCGTCACAAATGATTTACGCATTCTGAATTGATTTCGTTTTCTTCCGAACAAAAACTATTAAACACAAAAAATATGTTTTAAAACACGCCGTTCAAAAGTCTACAATGATCAAGGGAAAATGGTCTACGATGATCATGCGGCCCACCTTAGACCCCCACTAGTGTATCCTTAGGGGGTCTGTCATTCTAGACCCTAGTAGTTGAGGGTATCCTTTCGGGGGGGGACCCCACCTAATCAATACCGCTTCAATTGGTTAAGGAGGGAGTTTTATTGATTCACTTCACACAAAGTGGGGAGTTGGAGGGGTGGGGGGGGCGCGCTTGTAGTGATTTTTCAATTGATCCGGTTGATTTAGACCCATCTAATCTAATCGTAAACTAGAAGAACTTCAGCTGACCTCCTTCGGAGATCGCTTTCGTGACATTGTACAAAAATGTAGCTTACATTTAGACAGGTCCCCCCCGTTCTGTTATCGGGAGCGCCCGTCAAAATGGAACCATGAGGGCCGGGGACTTTAGACCCTGAAACAAGTTGTCTTTCGTAAAAAGCATTCCTTGTGGTATCGAGAGTGTTCTTCATTCGACCTCGAGGGCTGGGGACCAGGGGTTTATGCCCACTTTAGAATCCAAAACATTTTTTGCATTCATGCTATCAAGAGGTGCCCTGCTGAACAGAAACCACGTAGATCTACCACTCACCTAGCCTGCCTGTACTGCTGCTCAAACCAAGTGATTGAAATTTCGTGAGAAGGAGTGCCATCTGCACTGCCCAAGACATCGCAAAAAACACTATAATGACACGGGCAAGAGCTTCGTTAATCCGTTGTATAATTGTCAGTTGTATAATTGTATATGTCTGACAAAATGCAAATGTAATCCGGATGTACTTTTTCGATCCTTTTCGGGTTCTCTGTTGCCGGTGCCTTGGCCGCTTCTGCCCTTCGTCGGTGTGCACCCGTCGCACGAATTCCACCGGACAGAAAAGAGGGCTGCAAGCAGCAAATGTCGGTGAAGCCGCGCGATGTTTTTGTGTCCTTAGCTGTGAACGGGATGTCGTTGTTTTTTGTCCAACAGGCGAAAACGCTGACCAAAAAAACACCCAACAAACTATACAGATTTGGCCCTTCGCCCGTGTTGGGCGTGCACACCCCGGATCCAACATGAAACACGCCCTAACCACCTCACCTTGATAACTAGGATTTCGTTCCCGTAGTTTCAATGCTCACGGCCTGACAACGCAAAATTCCATTGCATCAAACTACGCCGGGTCGGTCGTCATCGGACATTGTCACAAAGAACTCGTCGGTGTCTTGCGGACATCGCTGCTCCAACTCGGAGCATCTCCGGGCAAGCCTGCCATGGCAACATAAACATGAACAACGGTCGACGCAAATCATGCCGCAACGTGTCATAGTGGGTGTGGCAACTGGTGGTGGTGCCTGGGGGGTGCGTAAGCTACAATTTTAACACCCCCTAGAAGCCACCCTAAAATGTATTTTATTTTTTTGAGGTCCCCCCTCCCGGAAGAAGCTTAAGGGGGTAGGTGTAATGGTTGTTTTGCTGGCACTGGTTGTCGGTATCGTAGGGTCGTGCTGCCAAACGTAACCCCAGCAAACGTATTCAAGCATCACCTTCTCCAGACGGTGCTGCTGGAACCCGTGTTCGTTTAAAAGCTTTCTGCGCACACTTCTTTCCAGACTAATTTAGCCGTGTGGACTAACAAAACTTGGCAAAGGCACCTGGGATCACCTGGGGTAGCCAGCGGGGTGCGCACCGGGGAGCATGAGGGAGGCTAAGTTTTCCAAACCAACTCCCAGGGTATAGAAAGCCACAGCACCAAGACAGTTGGCAAACACATGCTGCCCGGAACCGGTTTAGTGACATGACGAGACCCTACTCAGGCACCCTATGGGATAGTCATGGGTAGCCTATAACATCCTACTTGAGAGGAGGGAGACACGAAAGGTAGGACAGCGGGAAGAGAAGAGAACGCGAGAGGCAGGAACAAAAATGCAATGTTCGACATGGTGATTTATCCCCTCGGAGGCGACCTTTCGTACATATATGTTCATATGCACTTTAAATGTTCAAACATGTGCTCTCGAAATGTTCAAAAAGATTCTTAGGAAAACAAACTTGCCCCATTGCTCAGATCATCGGTGAGCATTGAATCGGAACATCATAGGATTTGAACTATCCTGAAACCATAAGAGGCTCACGAAGACGCTCCCCAGGAGAGAATTGACGCGCTTCACAGAACACCTTTCGTGATTAGAATTTCATATTCACTCTTTCTGAATGTTCAAGAGGGTTTCAACTATCCTGAAATCATGAGAGGCTCACGAAGACGATCTCCAGGAGAGAATTGATTTTAGAGGGGGGGAGGGGGGGGGGTCTGTATTGAAAAATCAATTCCAAGGGGGCGGGGGGGGGGGGGGG